AGCACGCACAGGCTCTGCTCCTCTTCCTCTTGGGTCTCACAGCGCAGCCCGGAAGAGCCCTTGCTCAGGACGTTGACAAGCACAGAGGCTCGACCTGGGCTCCACCATGGGAGAAGGTTGGATGATTGTTGTCAAAGCTCTTTAAACTGTGAGGTCTCTCGCACCCACGGAGAGGGGGCCCAGGAACCCTGGGTGCAGTCACACCCCTTACAAAGGCAGAGTCACCCTTAAAACCCGGTGCCGGGTCAGTCCCTGTCCTTCTACAGCCTCGAAGGGGGCGGAGCAACCTCCTCACCACGGCAGCACCCTCCTCCTCATCAAATTTTGTTTTTATAACTTTGCTTGTTTTGCATTAAATCTTCTACTCTGAGACCACTGTGGACTTACAGGCAGCAGTGAGAGATGGCCCAGGGCAATCGTGGACCCTTCGCCCCATTCTGCAGCTGCAGTGGCTGCAGCTCACAAAGCAGAGGGAACCTCACATCAGAGCATGAGCGTCTCACCCTCCACCTCTCAACAGCTTGGCGTCCCCGGGGCCTCTGTGCTGCCTTTGAAAACCACACCCACTTCCCTTCCCTGCTCTGATCCCTGATGGAGAATCTCTTCTGCATTTCCAGAATTTCTGCACTTCCAGAGTATTCTATATCTGCAACATGCTATCTTTTGGGATTGGCTGCATTCAGCCACTGTAACTCTACGAGATTCATGTAGGTTGCTAGTGATAGATATTCTTATTCATGGCGTAGTAGTATTCCACAGCTGGTTTTATTCTTCATCCTTTGAAGAAAATATCAGTTGTTCCAAATTTTTGGCATTACAAATAAAGCTACTATGAACATTTGGGTGAAGATTTTCAAATGATCATAAAATTTTTACTTCTCTGGGGTATGCTCCCAAGTGAAATTTTGGCTCATGAAGCAGTTGCATGTTTAGTATTTTCAAGATGGCTGTATTATTTTCTATTTCTACCAGAAATGTGTGAACAAGCAGTTCCTCCACATCCCCACCAGCATCTGGAGTCATCACTATTCGTAAAGCCATCGGTGTGGAGTGGTACCTCGTTCTCATTTGAATTTGCGTTTCCCTACTGGCTAATGGTGCGATGAATATATTCCCATCTGCTTCACTGCAGTCTCTAGATCCTTTCCTGTGAATGTTTATTCACACTTTTGCCCATCCTCTATTGAATTTCTCTATGTATGTATGCATGTATACATGTGTGGGGGGGTATGTGTGTGCATGTATGTACAGGACCCTTGCACTATGCTATATACCTAGCCATTTATGATTTTATTTTGAGACAGGATCTTGCTAAGTTCCCCAGGCAGAATTCAAACTTGTGATGCTCCTACCTCAGCTTCCCAGAGTGCTAGGATTACAGGCTTGCACCACCTCACCCAGCTGTACTGTTTTATTTTTTTAACTATTCAACTTTGAGAGTTCTTTGTATATTCTAGATCTGAGTCTTTTGTCAGATACATTACCTGCCTTTGTTTTCCAGTCTGTAATTTGTTTTTTCATTCTCTTACCAGTTTATTTGTTTATTTATTTATTTTAGGGTGGTTTTTTTGGGGGGTACCAGGAATTGAATTCAGACCTTGTGCTTGCCGGGCCAGTACTGGGCCCCTGAGCTATATCCCCACACCCTAGAGTCATCTATTGAGCAAAAGTTTTTCAAGTTTTGATGAAGTCCAATTTAGAAATTTTTCCTTTTATACATCATAGTTTTGGTGTCAACTCTCAGAACTCTGCCTATCTCTAGATGCAAAGATTCTTCTGTTTTTTGTTTTTTTCCTAGTTTATAGTTTGAGGTTTTACATGAAGTCTCTGATCTATTTTGAGTTAATGTTTTATAAGCTGTGAGGCTTAGGTTGTGGTTATGTCTTGCCTTTTGATGTCCAATTGGCCCAGCACCATATACTGAGAGGTTGAAATGCTTTTGCGCCTTTATCAAAGATCAGTTGGGCATATTTTATGTGAGTCTCTTCCTGGGTTCTGGATTCTGTTTCATTGATCTATGTGACAGTCCCTTTGCCAATATCATGTAGTCTCCATTGCTATGGTCATACAGGAAGCTGTAAAATTGGGTGTGCTGATTTCTTACACTTTATCCTTATGTTGAAAATTGTTTTAGCTTTTGGTTGCTTCCCATATGAATTTTAGAATTCTTTTGTCTATATCTACAACCAAAACTTGCTGGAGTTTTTAGTACAATTGCATTAAGCCTATAAATTAATTTGGGAAGAACTGACAGCTTTCCTCTGTCCAGTGTCTCAGTCCATGAACATGGTATGTCAGTCCATTTATTTAGATCTCTTCTAATCACTTTCATCTGCACTGCATAGCTTTCAGTATACAGCATGCCCATAAATGTGTATCTGAGAATTTGTTTGTGCTATTGGAAATAGTATTGTTTTTTAATTTCATTGTCCAGGTATTCATTGCTAGTACATGGAAATACAATTTTTTTTTTATATTTACGTTCTCTGTGGGAACTTGCTGAACTGAGTTGCAGAAAGATTTTTAATGGCTGCTTGTGATTATTTATCTAGATGACCATGTCATCTGAAAGTAGGGAGTTTATTTCTTCCTTTCCAGTATGTGTGCATGTTATTTATTTACTTTTCTTGACTTACTGCACTGGTGGAGCGATGTATTAAGTAACTGTAATGGCAGTGGACACCCTTGCTTCCTTGACAGTCTTTGGGACAAACTGCTCAGTCTTGCACAATCAAGGACAGTGGTGGATGTTGGGGTTTTTGAAGGTGCTTTGTATCAAGCTGAGAAAGTTTCCCTTTACTCCTATTTTTCTAAGAGCTTTATTTTTTACCTTAAATGGGTGTTGAATATTTTCAGTTTTGGTGGATTACCAATTGATAGGGCACTTGATTTTTTGTTAGCCTTTTAAAATAATGGATACTAGTAATTAATTTCAAATCTTGAACCAGCCCTGTACCCCTGGAATAGAGCCCATTTGTTCATAGTGTATACTTCTTTTTATAAATAGGTCAGTTTTATTGCCAGTGTTTTGTTAAGGTTTTCTGCATCTATGAAAAATGTTTTCTATACCACAGGGGTTTTTTTGTACTTTTCCCTCTGGTTTTAGTATCATGGTAATGCTAGCTCCATAAGAATGAATAGCTTCTTCCTATTCTATTTTCTAAAAGAGATTGTATAGAATCAGTGTTAATTACTATTTAAACATTTAATAGAATTTTTGGTGACAGTGTCTGTGTATCAAGGTTTCTTTCTTTTTTGAGTTTTAAAATTGTGAATCCAATTTTCTTAATATGTAGAAGCTATCTTGGGTGAATTACAGTTGTTAGTTTTATTTCTGGAACTGGTCCATTTCATCCAAGTTGACAAGTTTATGTGCAGATGTTTATAGTATTCTCTTAAAATCTTTTTTTTTTGGCTGTAGGGTCTACTGTTGTATTCCATTTTATTACTAATATTGGTAATTTTTGCCTTTTCCTTCTCTCCATCAATTTTATTAAAGGCTTGTCAATTTTATTGATCTTTTAAAAATACCACTCCTTTGTCTCACTGCTTTTTCTCTATTGTTTTTGTTTTTTACTTCATCCATTCCTATTCTTTTGGCACTTTATAAAAATGCTTATTCTGCTGTTCTTGGTTGGACCATTCCAAAATTGATCAGATCTTATTGGCTGATGGTGTTTTGAATGCTTCTACATTCCTGATTTTTTTTCTCTAACTGTTCTATCACTTGTTGAGATTGAGGCCTGAACTCTCCAGCTCTAATCATGGATTTGTCTATTTCTCCTTTTGATTCTATGGTTTCTGCTTGCTATGTTTTGTTCGTGGTGTGTTGTTTGGTGCATATGTTTAAGATAGCTACATTGTCATTTTTAAGACATCTAGCCTGTCTTTTAATTGGTGGATTTTGACCATTTACATTTACTGTAATTGTTGGTGCACTGGGACTTAAATGTGTTGTTTTAGTTTTTGGTTTGTTTGTTCTGTTTTCATTATATATGTCAAATTGTGAGTTATTTGAAATTTTTTAATAAAGAATGCTACCTTTGGTTTGACCACACAAAAGATATAAATCTAGGATACAGATATAAATGAAATCACCTAGTGTATTTACAAGTGACTTTTTCTCTGTATTATGCTCAGAACCAAGGCCCTTTCCCTTAAAGTATCCTATCCATGGTATGGGGAGCATGGTGGGCCATTTGGGTGGTCTCAGATCAACATGGAGAGAGCTTCCTAGTAGATCCCCCATCTGGAGAGGTCTTTGCAACCTGTGATGCTCAAAGCTACTTTAGCACCTCTGCTCCAATTTTCAGATCCTCTAGGGCACTAGCAACTTACATACCTTTTTTGTTTGTCAGTTTGTTTGTTTGTTTTGTTTTTTTTTCCAGTACCAGGAATCTAACTCACGACCTCACACTTGCCAGGCAGGCGCTGTGCTGCTGAGCTAAATCCCCAGCCCCCATACTTTGTTTTTTATCTGGAGCCCATTTTTCTTTATATTTTAGTCAAGTGATTTCTTTTTTTTTTTTTTTTTTAAATGTGATACTGAGGTTGGAACCCAGGGTCTAAGCTACAGGCCCCGCTCTATTTTATTTTTTATTCTGAGACTGGGTCTCACTAAATCACTAGGTGGCCTAGACTAGGTTCAAACTTACAGTATTCTTGCCTCAGCCTCCCAGAGTGCTCAGATGACAGGCTGTGCCATCATGCCCAATTATTTTTTTCTTACTATCTTGTTGTTCTTCATAGCTTTTAAGAAGATCTAAACTTTTCATGTATTTTCAGCAGGAATTCACTGCAACAACTTCGTTTGCCACGTTCCTGGAAGTGGAGGTTTGAAATCCTCTTGATTTCTCCCTCAAGACAGAATCTGAGGTAAAATTTTTGTGTCGATAGCTTATGTTGTAAAGTTTCCAGGGAATAGGGGAACTGGGCTGGGCACATGACAGGAGCAGGAGGGGGTGGCCCAAGGCCGCCTTGCAGAGCTAGTCAGCCCTGGACAGTGGGTCAGTCGTGTTGAGCGCACCCACAGGGCCAGGGAAGAGGCACTCTCATCTCCCTGCTCCTGCCTGTGGGTGGGATTGCTCCAGGATGTGAGCCCCTCACACTGTCACGAGGGTGTGGCCAGAGGGATGCAAGACATCTTGACGAGCGAGGGGCCAGAGAGCCTGGGCAGACAGCAAGAAGTACACAGAGCGGACGGAAGCCTGACCAGGGCCACCTGCACACTGCTCCCCTCAGGGGCGGCTGGGATGGAGGTGTTGCCCAACAGCCCTTACGGGATGCCTGGACAAAGCCATGACTATGGTCTGCGTGTGTCCCTAAAAGTGCACATGCTGGAAACGCGGTCCTCAAATGTGTGCTACTGTCTGGAGGAGAAGCGTCGGGGGAGACGAGGTCCTGAGGGCAGGGCTTTAAGTTGCTTTCTGAGCAGGTAAGGAGGGGCCCTGGCTTGCATGTTGGCCGAGTCTCACCGCAGGCTCTGAGTGTCCATCCTGGCCAGAGAGAGGCCTCTCCAGGTGCCTGGCAGGTGCCAAGGCGGGGCTGTGAGCTACGCAAACCTGACCTTGATTGGTTACACGGCCCCAGGTGTTTTGTCACCATCAGAAAATGGCATGTACCCTGGGTTCGAGCAGCGCCCGAGGCGCACCTGCTCCTGCAGCCTGGGAGTGTCTCCACCTCCCCCCCAGGGCTCCCCACTTCCAGGGGCCTCTGTCTTTCCTCTTGGTGCTCACCTAGGCCCACACCCACTGCCTGACCCTCCTGCCGAGGACCCCAGACACCGTGCCTGCTGGCTTCTGCCCACACAGTCCTGGAGCTCAGCCCTGCTTCCCAACCCCCACGAGGACCCCACTTGGCACAACACGTCCTTTTGATCCAGGTCACTGGGGCCTCAGCAGCTCGGCAGTCAGCCCCATGTCCACCTTGCTCTGGTCAGCGTAGTGGGAGGGCGGTGGCTGGGCTCAGATGACTGTTTACAGAGAAAAGAGGCAGCTGTCTCACAGAGGACACACACACACTCACACATACACACACACACACTCACACGCACTCACACACACACGCACTCACACGCACGCAGGACAGGGCGCTTCCGCCTTGTTTTTGTTGATTCCCTCAGCTCCCGGGAAGGGCAATGGGAGGAGCCTGGCTCAGGTCGGGACCAGCGCTAACAGAATGTGCAAATTTTTCCAACTTGCTGGCTTTGTTTTTTTTTAAATCTGTGAATCATTGGGCCAATTCCAACATGATAAAGAGCCCTGTTTGTTAATCTTGGCATCAAAACAATGTGTTTTCAAAATCTGAGCGAAACTGAAGAAGCCACAAATTTTAAAGAAGCGGGGCGGGGAACTGAGCGAGTAACACTGCACTCCACGGAGGCTGTGCGGAGAGCCAAGCATCAGGGAGCAGGGCCGTTTGCCCGTGCTCAGGACTTCCGTCGCTGCTGTGGGCGGGCGGGAGCTCTTGTCCGGCTTGCACGGTGAGGGTGTGTGTTTCTCGCCTGTGCACCCTGCCTGGGGATGCACCTTGTCCCGAGCAACGCGGGTCCTGCCGTTTCTACAGGGGGAGGTGCGCTCGCTGCGTTCTCACCACAGAGCAAGCAAAGCACAGATACGGTGCACCAGGCAGCGGACAGGAGGCCTCCCGCCGAGCCGAAGTCAGGGACCAGAGGCGCTTAGCTTCCAAACCTGGTATTTCCCCTCATCCGTGGACACTGGAGAGTGGAGCACCCGTGCGATCCCCGGCAGGGACAGCGAACCTCCAGGTGGCTCCTTGAAGCTCCTCTGCCTTCCCCAGCACTCTGCAGTCCGAGTTTGCTTTCGTTCTCTCTTCCAGGGAGGAGGTTGAGGAACCAGGGGCTATTTCATGCTGTTCTGTTGCTGCTGTTCGTGTTCTGCTGTGATGTAAAGCAGAGAACTGCCCGCTCTCGTTGTTTCCTGGGACGCACAAGCCTTCCCAGAGGTGGCCGGGGAAAGGTGAGCCCCAGGGCTACAGTGTGCTGGATGTCACCTGGCTGCTGTCTCCTCAGGGTCACCGTCAAGGCAGCTGTGGGTGCCGCTAGATCAAGGGTGCTCTTCACCCTCCCTCATCATATTCTGCAATGCGCATGAGCCAGGCCGGTGCTCGCCTCGGGGAGAGAGTGCCACGGTCCAGGCACCTTTCCCAGCAGCTGGCCCGTTGGGCAGAGCTGTGGCGGAGCCCAGCGCCCTCAGGCACTTGCCCCCTCTGCACTGGCAGTGGCTCCACACCCCGTCCCCACAGCTGTGCAGAGGGCACTGAACACAAGCCTGCCGCCCGCCCTCGGCTGCTCCCTGGCCGCAGAGGGTGCCGTCCCCGCTAGCCCCCAGGTTCACTCTGCGCCATCTTCCCGGCCCAGAGCTTCTCAAGGCCCCAGACAGTCCTCTAGGTGACAGGGAGACTGCAGTGAAAGGCAGTGATGAGGGGCCCACTGTCCCGGGCCCACTGTCCCGGGCCCTGGACACAGCCCCCAGGACGAGGCCTGCCCCGCAACAGCTCCCTGTGCCCCCGAGAATGGTGTCCCTGGAGACCCCCCCATGGGCCTGCAGACCCCATCCTGTGATGATTCCTCCTGCCAGCCCCCCAACCCACAGTCCACCAATGCCAGTGCCACGGGCCCTGCTGCTCTTGGGCTGGCAGCCTGCCCCTCGCCCTCGCGTGCTCTGATGGGGCAGGACGCTCTTCTCTGCAGTAGGGCCCCACTCTGCACCAGGGCCCACGCCTGCCCCTGCACACCCTTGAAAGGCAACCTCCTCCCCGCCCTGGGCCCCTGCCCTCCTCCCTGCCCTGGGCCCCTGCCGTCCTCCCTTCAGACCTGAGCCGTCAGGTCAGTTTGCACCAGCCCTGCCCCCCCCATCCTGCCCTGCCACCTGGGAGGCCATCCCTGGATGACCGTCCCACTCCTTGCCCCAGTACCTGTACCCCCACCACAGTGGAGAGCCTCACTCTTCCCCTCCTGCAGGATGCTGCCCTGGCCCTGCACATGCACCTCGAAATGCCATCTGAACACTAGGCAGGGGCCCCCGGATGCTTCAGACTCAGGGTGTCTCAACTTGCTTACCCCTGCTGTCCCTGGAGCGTGGTACCTGCCTTCCCCACCCCACAACCAGAAACGTCCCCAGAGCCCCAAGGTGTCACCAACACCTCACTCTCGTGGTCCACGGCCACACTACCCTCAGGGCCACTCCCTGCCCAGCCACCAAGTGCCCGGTGGGGGTGGCATGAGTCCTTCCCCCTCCTTTGCTGCTCCCTGGCTGCGACTCTGCAAGGCACCTTCTGCCTTTTCCATCCCTGGTGAGACAGTCACCCAAGCAAGGGCTCATGCCCTGAGCTCAGCCTCGCCGCGCGTGGCACCTAGGCCCCGCAGGAAGGCCAGCTCCGGCCGTGGGAAGAGCGCTTCCGCCAGCCCTTCCGCTTCCCAGATGAATGCGCTCCATCCGCAGGAGACGCGGACGGAGCGCGGCTGGCTTGGCTGGGCTTCTGCTAACAGCACGCACACTGTTTGGAAATAGAAATTAAAGAGCATTTGGGAATTGGGGTATGTGCAGAGAAAGCATTTTCCCTGAACTTCTCTACCCAGTGGGTGGGGACGAGGTATGCAGGAGGGGAAAATTCTGGGTAGGTGGTCAGTTCCGTGCAGATGTCAGGCAGGTCCATGACATCTGGGCTCCATTCTCAGCCCCTCATCCTGTGCAGAACGGCAAAGCCGGGGTGGATAACCCACCAGCACCCAGGGCCTTGTGGTGTCCTTTCACGGCTCCTGTTCGCTGGGCTGGGGAACCTGTGGGAGTGGAACGGGTCGCATCTGTACTCAGCTTTGACGATTCTCTGTCACTGGTGCAGCAGTGGCAGGCTGGTCTCGGGTCCAGGGTGTTTTCCTTTCGGGTGAGTGCCCTCAGGGGGACCCAGCCTCCATTCTGTTACCAAGTCCCTGTCACCCGAAGTCCTGGTGCTGTGGCTTGGCCATGTCCCCAGCTGGGAAGCCGGACCCCCATGGGCCTCCGAGCGCTGGGAATCAGGCGGGCCCTGCAGGCTCCGGCGCCTCAGCCCCTGGGTTTCTGCCTCTTGGCCGCATCCCCACCATCTGTCCTCCTGGTCCCCACTGGTCTCGTTCCCGTGGTCACTGCAGCAGGCTTTGTGCGGCTCCAGCAGTGGCTGCACCCAACAACCCCAAACCCAACCCGACCACTTGAGCCCACAGAAATCTCTCCCATTCTGGAGGCCGCAAGTCCCAGATCTAGGGCCCTGGGGCCCACAACCTCCAAGGGCGGTGGGCGGTGGGCGGTGGGCGGTGGGCGGAGTCTGGCCCCTGCCTCTCTCCCTCCCTCCCTCCCTCCGGGCCCTGGTGCCAGCAGGGTCACTGCAGCCTCTGTTCAGGCCCCAGTGTTCTCCTGGTCTCTCTCCTTCCTCTGTATGGCAGCTGCCCCAGAGTGACCGCTCCTGGAGGTCCTTAATCAACTACGTCTGCAAAGACTCCAAAAGCTTAGCCTGTCATGGGGTCCAGACGTGGACCAGTTTCTGTACCTACCAGAGAGGGCTTCTGAGGTGACACGGATAGGCAGCTGTTGGCTATCCTGCTTGCCGTGGGGACGGATGCTTCCCACCGCCTTCCTCCTCTGCACCTGCTTCCCGGATCACTCGGGGACCCAGCGGGCATAGTCATGCTCTGGGCCAAGGCGCCAGCAGCCCCCAAACCCAAGCCACTTCCCCCCCTCCCTCCCCTCGCCTCTCCCGCCCTCCCCTGCTCTCCCCTCAGGCCCCCACCCCCACCCAGGTCCTGTTTCTGGAGTCAAGCTGCAGGTCCTGAGTGGGCTGTGGACCGAGGGAACCACGTGCAGGGGTGTGCACAGCAGTGCAGAGCCTCAGGGAGCAGGGAGAGGTCCGCTGGTCCAGCTGGGCCGTGTGCCAGGGATGGAGCGAGGCAGGTACTGGGGCTTAGTCCCAGGGACACGGGGCTGGAAGGGCAAGTAAGGTGGACACAGGCGGCCGAGGGCCTGGCCTTGAGGAAACACTGCCAGATGCCATGGACTATGGGCTCCGCTGGCCCTTTGCTCCTTGAGGCCAAGGACACCAGAGTCTCCGGGGGCTGGGGTCAGAGTGGCCTCCATCCTAGGATAGCCCCTGGCAGGGCTTCCATGCACCCAGGCACCAGCATGCTGTCCTGTGGGGCCAGGGCTGGCCCGTGTGGCTCTGTGGGCTGTCCTGCGTGGGCAGGCGGTGTGCTCCATCAGAGGACCCGGAAACTCTTGCTCTGCGACAGCCGCAGCTCACTGCAGGGCCTGGAGGCAGCTGGAGAGCAGGGTGTAGGGAGGGGTGTGTTAGGGCTTAGATCTGGGCGACTGGATTATGGGGCACCGTGGTGACCTGCCCTGAGGAGGCAGGGACTGTGGGAAGAGTGGCTCTGGGGGTGTGACCTGGAAGGGCTCATCTCTCTCCTGGCTCCTCCCTTCCCTCTCTGCTTCCGGTCCTGCGTGCCCTGAGCAGCCCCCTCCGCCAGCCGCCTGCCGCTTCTTCTTTGGGACCTGCGCACCCTGGACTGAAGCGTGAGCCGCAGTAAACTTCTCCTGCTTCAGGTTGCCAGGGTTGAGTGTTTTGTCTCTGCAAGGAGGAAAGCGGGTTAGACAGTGAGGGCGGGTGCCACGGCCGCTTCTCCTGCCCGGGGCTGCTCAGGCTCTCCTCCCCTTACCCAGGCCCGGCCCCGGAGCTCCCTCAGTCACCCTCTCAGGGGCTGAAGGCGCGTGGGGGTGGCTGCCAGGTCCAGGGGCCTCTGCCCATGCACCCACAGGTGTGCTCACGGCACGTTAGCGTGCACAGTGCCCAGTGCTATTTCGGTGACAGAAGTGTCCTCTCTCAAGAGACCACAGGACAGGAGAGAAAGCTCCTGCAGGCTCTGTAGCTCTGCGTGGCCTCCAGCCCCTCAAAACCAGCTGAGACCCCACGGACCAGCCCACAGTCCTCCCCCTGTCCACCTACCGGCCTGGCTGCCGGCCCCCCCTCCCCGAACATGTCCCCGAGAGCCACAAGGTCCCCTGGATGGGCCTAGTGGCACCAGGGCACATGCCGGGGTTCCAGTTGCCTTCTCAGCTCTCCAGGCTCAGGGCTCACAGGGAGCGCCTGGGGGCCCACTCTGCTGCCTGCAGTTGCTTTTAAGGGCAGACAGCAGGGCTTTGCATTTAATGGTGTTGGTTTTGGCCACTGCCCCGGCCCAAGGTAATGTTGGAAACGAGTGCATGACCCTGCAGGCCCCCCACTGCCACCCCGTGTGGTCCTGCTCCTGGATCGAATTCCAAACCCCAGGTTCTGTCTGTCCCGGCCAACCCCTCCTGCCGGCTCCTTTGTGCTGTTAAAGGGACTACATCCCAGGGCTGCCCCAGCAGCCCTACGTCTGCCTGGGGCTGGCCAGCTTGCTCCCCAGAGGGTCCGCTGGACACCCCCAGCACAAGTGGGCAGTGGCTTGGCTGGGGTTTCTCCCGACACCTCCTGTCCTGGGGACTCCTGGGTCACTTCAGATGTGCGTCCTGGATGAGTCTGCACTGCAGCCTTATGCAGCTCTGTCCTCCCGGCCCTAACTGCCCCAGGGAGCAGCTGCAAGAACCCAGGGCGGAAGCTACCACATGGAAGAGGCCCTGTGACACACTAGGGACCCGAGTCCCATCCCTGGTCCCAACAGCTTGTGACAAGTGAGTGTCCGTGCATACGCACACAGACCCAGGTGTGTGTGCGTGTCCGTGTATGAACACACACATATACACACATGCATCCCAGCACACCTGAGCCCTGCAGTGTCCTCGGCTAGGTGTAGGGGTATGTGGGGAAGTGGATCCCATGGGCCAAGGTGGAGCCTGGCTTCAGGAATGCACAGATCGGCAGTAAATCCTCAGGAGACCCCAGGCCAGGCCAGGGCTGGGGTGGCTGAGACCCTGCTGTGTAGACCTGAGCACGCAGCAGGGGGCGGGAACAGCCACACTTAGTGCCACCAGAGACGCAGGGTGCCGGGGGGGCTGCACCCACCTGTAGGCAGGGAAACCCACTGCCTGTAAGGGTGTCCCCATGGGAGCTGGGGGCGTGCAAAGGGAGGGGCCTGAGGTCCCGGGAAGTGGTCTCAGTTCTTTCCCTGGACATTGGCTTCCAGGCCACTTCCCTGAGGTCCTGCAGACTCTAGCCTTGACCTTCCAGGGTGGGCCCCGAGCATCCACTCTGGAGCAGGCGCCCTGGTCCCTCTTCCATGCTGCCTGGTCCCCCACGGTGGAGAAGACACTGGCCCGGTTACTTGGCGGGCTAAGCAGGCCTTGGCTCAGCACCTGGGCGGAGGAGGACTGAACTTGCAGTTTGGAAACCAAGGATGAGCCTGTGTTGCCTCCCATCTTCAAGCTTTACTTGTGCTGTTTCTGCTTTGAGTCACTTGGGAGAGAGGCACCCGACCTTCGCGGTCTTCCTGGCCCTTCAGGCCTCCATGGGCCCTGCAGAGCTGGACCCCTGCTCTGCCTCCCGAGTCTCCTCAGGGGAGCTGGGCATGTGCATGTGTGTGTGTGCTGTGTGGACGGCAGTGTGTGCATTCACGTGTAGTGCACACGAGCATGTGTGAGGTGTGTGTGTGCATGTGTGTGCATGCATGGATGTGTGTGGTGTGGGCGTGCACGCTTATGTGCTTATTGGCTTCTCCTGCAGGGACCAGACTCCCTCAGCCAGGGCTCAGGACCCCCCGTTATGCCTCGAGGTCACTTCTAGGAGCCAGCGTGGTGACAGGAACTGAGGCCCTTCTGGAGTCCCCTGTTCACCTGGGTGGGGGGAGGGAGAGGGCTCCTAGGCCACCGCAGTGCCGCCCGGGACCCTCGCCCCCACGGCTGCTGTCTGGGAGCTGGGCAGAGCCTGTGTCTGCTCGGTGTCGCCCCGAGGAAAGGCCTCTGGTGGCTCAGGCGACCTCACGGTTTGCAGCCCCTGAGCTGGAAGCCCCCACGCTGGGGGCCACCCACACCCCGCTGGCACTCACAGGTGTGGACGTGGTAGCGAGCCAGCAGCGCGGTGAGGGACCCTTGCCTTCTGCAGGGGTGTCCTCTGTACCAGATCCCGGCTGCATCCTCTGAGGGGCTACTGCAGGCCTGGCCTGGCAGGGTCACCTGGTGGGGGCTGCAGCCTCAGCCTCAGCCAGGTCCCTGTCTGGAGGGCCGGACAGCTGCCCGTGGAGCCCAGTCAACACAGGATGGACATGTTCAGGATGTGCCGGGACCAGCTGGGGGCGTGTGGGAGGTTCTGACAGGAAGGACAGGAAGGGCTTAGCCAGCGAGGTGACTCCTGGCTAAGGCTGTGGGGAGCCCAGCAGGGAGCCGGCCTAGCGGCCAAGGCCACCTTGCCTGCAGTGATGGCGTGGTGTCCTCAAGGCCGGCCTTGGACCTCAGCCTGTGGTTCTGTGAGGGGGTGGTGTCTCTAGGAAGAGGGGCCCAATGAGCGGAAGTCAGGTCACTGGGGGCTGCGCCCTAGGGGCAAGCCCCTCCGCCCCCGCTTCCGGCTGCCATGAGGAGCAGCTGTGCTCCTCTCCCTCCTCCCCACGATGTTCATCCTTGCCCTGAGCCCAGGGAGCAATGGAGCAATAGACCATGGACCGAGACATCAGGAACCATGAGCCCAAATAAACATTCCCTTCTTTTTTGGGACTGGGGTACTGGGAATCGGACACAAGGCCTTCACACTGACTACATCCTCAGCCTCTTTCATGTATGTATTTTTTAGACAAGGTCTCTCTAAATTACCCAGACTGGACTCAAACTTGCATTCCTCCTGACTCAGCCTCCCAGAATGCTGGGATTATAGTCATGTACCACTACACCCAGCTAAACCTTTCCATTCTATAAGTTGCTTATCTCAGGTACTTTTCTCAGAGATGGAAACGTCACTCACAAGCCTGCTCTGCTCTCTTAGGCCTGGGTCTGCATTCATAACTACAGGAGAGTCAGTAGCTTCTAGAAATTCCTCCAGCCACATGCAGCATAAAATGTCTCTCATCCTTTCAGGTCCCTTCAGGGTGAAGCAACAATCATTTCTGCAACCCGTTCCAGCGTGCCCAGGCTGGTGCTCACTGCGACACAGAGATGAGAACAGAGACGTGGAGACCAGGGCCGTGTGGGATCTTTATTGTTCTGGGCAGGGCCGGGGTACACAGCCACGGGCAGAGCACTTGGCTTGTAAAAATATCTCAATAAATAAACAAATAAGCAACATATACACGGACATGGGGAATATAAAAACAGCGAGCTGAGCGAATCAGGGCAAAAGAGGGGTGTGAGGAGGGGGTTCCAGGCTTCCTTGAGACCATCATGCAGAGGTCGGGGTGGGTGGGAACCGGGGTCCTGTTCTGACAGCCTTGGTCCAGTTGGAACAGATTGTACAAGAACACATTTCTGTTTTATTAAAAAAAAATACAGGTCAGAGAAGGCACTTAGAGGGAAGTACAAATCCAAAATCCAAATGCTCATAAATGCTTTCCTGAATCGAGAGATTTTTCAGAAACAATAAAATCCACCCCCCAAAAATAAAACCCAGAAGAAAAATCCAGATGGTGACGAGATGACAATGTGCAGGTCGCTGGTGGGGGCTGGGAGCCCCTTCCAGCAGGGGGGCCGTCTCGGGGAAGGCCGCGCGGCCCTGTCTGGACACTTGCTGGGGCGTGCAAGGGGCCTTAGCGAGGTTGTCCAGGTTTCAGAGGTGACAGGTGTGGTGCGCCCCAGTTCTTCAGACGTGCGGGTCAGTCTGGAAGACAAAGAAGAAGGGTGAGCTGCAGGCGCTGTGCCCCGTCCTGCAGGGTAGGGTGGTTGCAGGTGGAGGGCCGCCCTATATCACCCGTCCTCCCTCCAGGGACCAGACAAGGCATGTCCCCAGGGCCCAGGCCACCCCACAGCTCCCAGGGCTCTGACAATCGCTCCTCACCCTCCCGGGCCCACTGCCACGTCCACCTGCCTGGACAAGCCACCCCGCTGGGGTCCCCATGTGACGGAGCCGCCGGGGTGAACCGTGTGCAGCTGGGGCAGGATGTGGGGTTTCCGGGGTCATGGGGGACAGGAAGAGGATGCAGAGAAGTGGGACAGCTGCTGGGAGGGGCAGTCAAAGGTGGATGAAAACTTGACTTTTAAATAATTATAGATTCATAGGAAGTTACAAAAAAGTGTACAGAAAACTCCGTTGCATTTCCCCCAGTAGTGCAGGGTCTCAAACAAGCTCAGTGCATGTCACACCCAGGCGGTCGATGTCAGCGCGGCTCAGTGACTTCTCCACCAACTTGGCGCCTACAACTGTGACCAAGGTGGACAACCTGCCCGTCACTCCAAGGTCCCCTTGTGCCAGGCAATGGAGTTTTTTAAATACCCAAGGGCTGGGTAGCTCAGCAGGGCCAGGCGTGTTGCCGGCACCTGTCTGCGAACTCGGCTCACCCCCCAGGAGCCCCTCTCCCCACCCGTACCCCTCATACTGCACGTACAGCTGGGCACGAGCATGCACGGGCAGCTGCAGGGAAGCCACCTCGATGGGCAGAGGCCAGGCTCATGTGCCACACACAGCCCTGTACCCACAGTGCCACACGCACATACACAGCACTCCACTCAGAAGACCCGCCCTCTGTGGTGAAGGTTGGGTTTGGAGTCAAGTTCGTGACCTGAACAGGTGACATGGTAGCTCCATGGGGAGAAAAGACCCATGCAGGAGCCACATCTGGGTCCTCGCACCCCAGGCTGCGCACACTGCTGCCTGTGCCCCCATACCCCGTGAAGAAGAGGCACTGGGAAGAGCGGTGCAGGCCAGAGCCTGAGACCCAGACTGCAGAGGGGTACGGCTGCTGTAAGCCCAAGGTCGTAAGTCAAGGTCACTGCGATGAGCTCCTGTCAGGGACCAGCGTGTGCTGGCTGTGTCCTCCAGGTTGCTGCTGAGCCACGTGGGGAGGGAGCGCTGGGTGTGCGCCGTGCTCCGAGGGGGCAGCGGTGGTGAGGCTGGGCCTGGCCCACACTGGCTGTCAGGGCTGCGTAGCGGACCAGCAGCACACGAACCCTGCACTGCACCCAGGCCGGCCCGTGACAGCCCCAGTGATGCGCCATGCTTCCAGGTCCCCGAGGGAGCTCTCTTAGGGACTGTGAAAGGTTCTTGGGTTCTGTTTCCCTTGCTGAATCAAGACAAAGCTCTGAAGAAAGACAGGTTTTCCTAAAACCTCTTTCTCTCTCTCTTTCTCTCTCTCTATTCAGAGTATTCCAAAGAGTTAAGCCTTTTTAAGTGGTCCTGGGCAGAAAGTCAAAGGCTGCTCTCTTTTGGAGAATGTGGTTGTAATTAGATAATTAATAAGGGGGTGGCTAGAGAAAGCTAAATGGAAGCCTTCCTCAGTGGGAGGAAATAATTACAACAGCTTTTGATATATGAGCTGAGCCAGCCTCCAAGGGGAAATACAGTATCATCCATGGAAAGCCAAAAGCACAGGGCCATCTCCAGCCCGGCGTGCGTCTCTGGGTTTGCTTCATGTGCCCGCTGGGGCCCAGGGCTGGGGCAGACGTGAGCAGCAGGTTCGTTCATCTTCTTGACTGAGGGCCTTCTGGCCTGGCCCCCGATGTCACCCTGGCCCCGGCCACGTCTACCGACACAGGCAGCAAATGTGAAACATCTAGGCCTCAGGCTGCCTCTGTGCACCAGAGCCACCTGAAGCCCCCGCCTGCGTCCTGTCCGGCTGGCTCTCTGCACCTGCCTGCCTGGCCCAGAAGAGGCAGTGAGCGGCCTGCCAAGAGGGCGTCTTTAGTGGTCTCCTCCGCACCAGATCACAGGCACAGGGAAGCAGGCAATGCTGTATCCCCGACCAAGCAAGAGGGTGGACATCAATGAAGTCTCCAGAAGGGAGGCGAGGCGGTTGGAGGAGGAGGAGGAGTTCTGTGTTAAGGCCACACATCCTCCACCTGTGCTTTAAATGTTCTTCTTCCATCTCTCCCTCCGTCTCTCCCTTTCTTTCTTCCATCCACCCATCCATCTAAACACCCAGCGAGGCAGCCAGCCAGCCATCCTTTCATCCATGCAACCCTCCATCTGTCCATAATACATACATACATATAGCCATCCATTCATTATCCTTGTAAACTTCCAACCATCCATCCATCCATGCAGCTTTCTGTCCGTCCGTTCATCCATCCATGCAACTTTCCATCCACCCATCCTTAGGTACACACAGCCATCCGTCCACCCACCCATCACGCCTCCACCCATCCCTCCAGCTCTAGCACCTACTGTATGCAAGGAAGGCTGCTCGTTGGAAAAGCCAAGTGAATTGGAGAAATCTAGAAGAGGCAACATGTGCAGAGAGCAGGGACGCAGTGCAGACACTGAGACCATTCCTCAGGGAAGTGCAGGTCGGACTTTGTGGTGGGGAGGGAAGGGGCCGAGTACCTTGATTTTGGCTGCACTGCCAGAAAGAGCAGGCTGCGGAGTAAGGAGACAAGGGGAGAACCTCGATGTGAAACCTCCTTCAGTCAGACAGCAACGCACATGCACACATGTGTGCACACAACACACACACACACACACACACACACTCCTGAACTGCAGGGGTGAAAAGGGACGGTTGGGAGGTCAGAAACTGACAACAGAAATGTGGGGGGCTTCATCTCCAGCAAGCCACAGATGGACGTCCAAGGGGCAACCTCACCGTTAGCCACGGTCCCTCAACCCATCCCGAAAAGAGGCGAGCCTCTGCCTAGGGGAACCAAGGTCCAGTTCTCTAGAAGTCATGCATAGTAGGAATCACTGTTATGTGACCAAACAAGTCAGGGACGCTCACACAGAAGCTCAGTCCTGAGGGGTGGCCGGGGTCCCCAAGACCCTGCCTGCATTGAAGAGGAAGCGCCCCCAAGTTCCAGAAAGGCGATGTCTTCTTGCTAAAAAGGGCTCATGGTTCTCAAAGCAACACAGAAGACCAACCAACCCTGTCATGAAGAAACTTCTAGGGGAGGTGAGCCTCCCACACACCACTTCCAGATACAGACAAAGCAAGCAGAGTCAGGGTGGCTTCCCAGCTGTGTCTGCTGCCTGCCACACGACCGTGCCAGGGCTCTGACTGGAAAGATGAGGATGAGCATTCTCCCGAGCCTTCCTGCGCACCCTGAGTTCATGCAGGCCAGGTGACCTTGGGGGACACCCAAGGGACACGTCCCTTCCAAGCCAAGGACTGAGCTCCTGGTTCTGCAGCAGGCAGGTCGTCTACCCAGCAGGCTGCACACCCAACAGGCAATGAGGCTGTGGCGAGAGGGAGCACTGCAGAAAAAATCACCAGAGGCCATGTGTGTGACAGGGGGCAGGGGTCTAGCAGGGACTGAGCAGGGGCACCCATGGGCCCCAGGAACCCAAGCTGCTGTCCACCCAAAGTCACCCAAGGAGGACGTGATACCAAAGCCCTGAGACTGGGCTGTCCGCCCTTGAGCTTGCTGTCTTGCTCCCTGGGAAGTCCCATCTATCAAACTCACCACGAACAAGCAGGGGCCCGAGGCTGTCACTCACTGCCTGACACCCTAACCAGCCACCCCCACAGGTCTGCAGGAGCCCCCAGTGAGAACGAACCAGAGTGTTCCTGGGAAAGTTTGAACACGGCTGCCTGTGCAGCTTAACCCAGGCCAGAGCTGAAACACGAGGGAGCCATTCGGGACAGGGTCTCACTGTGCAGTTCAGGCTGTCCTTAAACTCACTTTGTAGCCCAGGCTGGCCTCATACTTGCAGGGATCCTCCTGCCCCAGCCTCCTAAGTGCTGGGATTACAGGCATGTGCCACCACACCCAGCTATTTATTTTTAAAACCTCTTTTTAGAGCAGTTGAGAGGAGGGTACGGAGATTTCGCAGGTGCTGTCCGCAACGCACCGCCTCCCCGGCGAAGCACCCATACCACAGTGATGCCTGGCAGGGCCTCAGAGCCAAGGCAGAGAATGCCCACCCGTGGGTCCCATTGCAGAGCCCCGACACCGGGAAATCAAGTCGCACTGTGGAAGAACCCACTCCATGTGAACAGGGAGCGTGAGTCCCAGGAACGTGGGACAGCAGCTGCTGGGCAGCCAGTAAAGAGCGCTGCAGAACACGCTTCTCAGCAGACGCCCAAGGGTGCCGTCCACAGGACAAGAAAGGGGGACAGCCCGAGAGTGGGGCCCTGGGCTAAATCCTAGCTCCTGCCCCAGGGTCAGGAAGCCTTGAGAAAGTGGGTGAGCTTCTCCAGACCTCAGTCTCCCCACCTGCAAAACACTCACTGAGGGCACGACAGGCCGTGGTGCACGGCCCGAGACGACGAGGGCATGCGGTGGGTGCCCAGTTACCGTTTGCAGGGATGGGGCCCATGATGAAGAGACCAGGGAGGCTGCGGGCTGTGTCACCCGACCCTGCAGGTGAAGCAGTGGCTTCCTGCTGCCAGTGGGCGATATGCCCTGCTGGGGCAAGGAGTAACCACGGAGATGCTTGTGCCCACTGGACCCGACACTGCCCCACCTCCTGACCCAGGCCCTCCCGTTGGCTGAGGCAGCCACCTGCCAGGGAGTCCAGCAGCCACTGTCAGGGGAGGCAGGCCAGGAGGGGACCCAGCGATGGAGGAGTGGCTGCCCACACCCGCCAAGCAGAGGCCAGGCCCAGGCCGTAGGGCTCCCTGCCTTGTGCCTGCCCGGCCTGTGTGGCTCTGGTGCCCGCCCTCACCCTACCCCATAGGGACCCTGGGAGGCCCAAGTCCACAGCAGGGCCTGCCAGGCTGGGTGGCCCCA